ATTAAAAAAAAAAAAAAAGAAAAGTCAAGTCATGGGCATTAAGATGATCTAGCTTCTTTTGAATTAGTGCTATGTTATTATTTCAGTCATTTAAAATTGTTTCTAGTTATGGTAATGATCAGTTCCCGTATATATTAGTCTATAAAATGTTCTTTTAAAATAATTTAAAGTAAAACATGTGAGTCAATTAATTTTTTTCCCCTCAAAGTTAAGGTTCAGCTAGTTTGATCTGTAAAGGTCAGGGAGGAGATATTTCATATTTTACAGTGTCTGTCAGAGCTATGCAACTCTGTCCTTGTAACTTATAACAGCCGTATAGATGGTGATGAATTAGTGGGGATGTATTCCAGCAAAATTTGATTTCTGGAAACTGAAATGTATATATATTTCAAGATATATACATTATACAAGTTATATATATATATATACATATATATAAGTTCAATAGAGATTCAACTGAAATATACATTTCAGTTTTATTAACTATTACTCACCTTTTAATTTTTCAACTTCTGAAAAATGTAAAGATCTCCGTTAGCTTATGTACAACAACAGATGGTGGCCAGGATTTGGCCTATAAGCTGCTATTTGCAGACCCCTTAACGTAGTAGGTGGTGAGACTGACTTACCCTAGAAAGGACTTTGCAGGTACTTTGAGAAGTGTTAAGTATTTAAGACAATACAGTTGCTTTGGAATCACTTTCTAGCAAGGATGGAGAAGCCAGTATAATATCTTTTTTGGCTATAGTTAACCAGGTGAGAGCAAGAAAGTCATGTGGGATTAAAAAAAATAAAGTTAGGTTTTTCTTTCCTTCTTTAGGTTCTTTGTGCATTTAGGTATTTTCCAAATTGTATACCCTATCACCATTTCATAGGCAGAACAAAACAAAAAACCTACTATAAACAAAATATTTTAGGGAAGCAGAATTATGCCTGTGTTATTTCTGAGAAGAGTTCAAGTTATACCCCTATATTATAATGTTCTTTACCTTAGAAAAGATACAATTAGAATCATCCCTCTTGAAATCAACCTTTGTCTTTGTAGCAGGAAATCATAATTACTGTGGAACCACAAGGAGAAAGAGCCTTACCTTAAGTGATCTGAGAGTATTTGTTCAAAATCTTGACATTTTCTGCTTAGATTCAGCTGCCATATCTGTATGTATGCATGTATTTCCTTGACGTTTGTGCAGAATAATCTCTGATAGGTGTGTCCCTTGCTTTTTCTTCACACAGAAGTGGAAAACTAAGAGATAGAAAATACTTTTCCTATGTGGGAGGGGTACTTTATAGGAGTTGTAACATTGTTGTTAGGTGACATCATCAAGTTAATTTCAACTCAAGCCATCTTATGTGACAGCAGAACTGTCCCATTTGATTTTCTATGTCGTCATAGCAACAGACAGGAATGAAATTGACTGCATTTGTGGAAAGAGACAACAGGTGCTCAATATCATCAGTCATATTAAAGCTAGAGGCTGACTGGAACAGTCTAGGAATTGAACATATGCTGATAACATTTTTTTTACAAGCCCACAAGAGCTAAAGCATGATCTTGAGTATGTTCCACTTGAGTGTAGACACCATCTGAAGAATAGGTTTGACCCAATGCCCCCTAAATACTACAGATCAGTTGAGTTGCGGTATGACCAGAGACATCATGAAGAAACCGGAAAGCCATGAAAAGGACAGGGAAGACAGAAAAGACCAGAGCAAATAGAGGAGGAGACTTGGTCGTGTATGTAGATTAGCTACTGCAAATAGAATAAATAACGAAGCGAAAGGAACTCGGCAGAAATTTCAGTGTACAATTTGAGAAGACAGTAAAGTGTTGTGATGAAATGTGCAAAAAATGGATTTAGACAACCAAAAAGGAAGACTATGCTTGGCATTTCTCAAGCTGAAAGAGCTGAAGAAAATAGTCAAGCCTTAAGTTGACATTTTGAAGGATCTGTGGCCAAAATACCTAAAGACAAAAGAAGCATCAAACAATGGAAGGAATACACAGAATGATTCTACCAAAAGGAATCAGTGGTGTTTAAACATTTCAGGAAGTAACATAAGTTTAAGAGCCAAAGGTAGTGAATGAGAAGTACAAGCTAGCTGCACTGTTGGAATTGGCAAACAACAAGACTAGGAATTGCCAAAAAACAAAACTAGGAATAACAATTGAAATGCGTCAGCAAGTGGATGCTGAGCCCTTATCTGTGCTAAGAAGTTTGGAAGACAGATACCTGGCCATCCAACTGGAAGAGATTCATATTGGTACCCATTTCAAAGAAAGATGATCCAACAGAATGTAGAAATTATTGAACACTTTTAGTAATACCACATGCAAGTAAGATTTTGCTGAAGATAATTGAAAAATGGTTGCAGCAATACATCAACAGGAAGCTGCCAGAATGAAGTTCAAGA